CCAGGCAACAACTAGGCTTCACTGGCAGCACTTATAGCACTTACCAGAGCAGTCTAGGGATCCCCTCATGGTCACCTTTTAAACTATTTAAAATTAATTGAGTTGGAGAATTGAATCTTTTGAGAGTGAATGGTGGAGGAAGTTAATTTGTATCTTAAGTAGGAAATGAGTATTTTCCAGGGGCAATTATTGATCTATGTTAAGAAATTTGTTTTTGGAAGTGTTTATAGGCATGAAGGACAGTTTTTTGATTTGCTACTAGAACAATAGGCCTCCTAGTTCAGGAGCTAAAGCTGTCACAGAGGCAAATTCTTTGAGCTTTGGGGGAGGAGGGAGTGAAGAGGGGCAAGACAAAGCACGTTTAGGTAAATTAGAAATCTGAAGTCCAGCCATAGCCCAGGAGAGTCTATATCTTTATTTGAGGCAGAAGAGGAACGTTCCTTTTCATACTGAGTTCCTCATCTTGTAACTCTTGTTGGAATTCAGGGGGAAGGGGTTCTTCTGCCGGAGCAGAAGGGGATAAACCCTGTACATATTGGAGAGGGGGCTGTAATTGATTAATACGAACACAACAGCCCCTGGTGTTTTTTTCTTTTTCTTTTTTTTTAGAGACAGTCTTACTTTGTCACCCTTGGTAGAGTGTCGTGGCGGCACAGCTCACAGTAATCTCCGGCTCTTGGGCTTAGGCGATTCTCTTGCCTCAGCCTCCCAAGTAGCTGGGACTACAGGTGCCTGCAACAACGCCCAGCTATTTTTTGTTGCAGTTTGGCCAGAGCCAGCTTTGAAGCTGTCATCCTCCGCATTTGGGGCTGGCACCCTAATTACTGAACCACAGGCGCCGCCCTACAGCCCCTGGTTTTTAACATAGATTTAAGCATTTGAGTACAGAGTTCTCGCTCCTTTGAGCCTGACTGTCCCATAATCTATTACTCCTCAGGATGATTACTCTGGAAAAAATTACTTACCAACTGTGCAGTTTCACTTCTTTGCTCTCAAGGGGAGTCCCTCACCTGTGTGCACCTATTGTCCTGTACTCTGGTCCCTCTTTGGGGCGCCACCTTATTGAGCCTGCCAGGAGAAGGGGGAACAAACCAGAGCGGAAGTGGTGGGGATTGAGGAAAATATAACACAAGAGAAGACACATGAGATGAAAAATGGAGTCAGGAGGTCTGACACAGCTTATGACTGCAGCCAGCACCACAACACAAAATCAGCTTTAGATGTATATATTTTTCTTTTATTTTTTGAGACAGAGTCTCAATGTATCACCGTTGGTAGAGTGCTATGACATCACAGCTCACAACAACCTCAAACTCTTGGACTTAAGCGATTCTCCTGCCTCAGCCTCCCAGGTAGCTGGGACTAAAGGCACCCCCCAAACACCCAGTTTTTTTTGTTTGTTTGTTTCGTTTTTTGCAGTTTTTGGACAGAGCCAGGTTTGAATCTGCCACCTCTGGCATATGGGACCAGTGCCCTACTCCTTGAGCCACAGGTGCCCCCCCGACACCCAATTTTTTTGTGTGTGGTTGTCATTGTTGTTTGGCAGGCCCTGGGCCAGATTTGAACCCACCAGCCACTGAGCTCAAGTTCCAAGCCTATTTTAGTTAATTAACTAATTAATTTATTTATTTGAGACAGAGTCTCAAGCTGTTGCCCTGGGTAGAGTGCCATGGCAGCATAGCTCAGAGCAACCTCCAACTCCTGGGCTCAAGTGATTCTCCTGCCTCTGCCTCCCAAGTAGCTGTGACTACAGGCGCCCTCCACAACACCTGGCTATTTTTTGGTTGCTGCCATCATTGTTTGGTGGGCCGGGCTGGATTGGAACCGTCAGCTCAGGTGTATGTGGCTGGCACCTTGGCTGCTTGAGCCACAGGCGCTGAGCCACAACCTCCAACTCTTGGGCTCAAGTAATCCTCTTGCCTCAGTTTTTCTATTTTAGTAGACAAGGGGGTCTTGCTTTTGCTTAGGCTTGTCTGGAACTGCTGAGTTCAGGCTGTCCACCCTCCTTGACCTCCCAGAGTGCTAGGATTATAGACGTGAGCCACCCCATCTGGCCAAATCAGCTCTATTTTATAGTATCTCAGCAAGGTTATAGGGAAGTAGAATGGACAAAAGACATATTTTTGGTCTTACAATATGAGTGGAAAATGTAAATAACTTTATCAAAAACAGATCATCCTGTTAATGGTTTCTACTTAACTTCATTAACATATGTCAAAAGGTAAAAAGGGAAAGATCTCAAGGATTTCTGCAGAGGTTTTAAAGATTAACTAGACAGGTTCACGCCTGTGGCTCAAGCAGCTAAGGTGCCAGCCACATACACCTAAGGTGGCAGGTTCGAATCCAGCCTGGACCCGCCAAACAATAATGGCTACAACCAAAAAATAGCCAGGCGTTGTGGCAGGCGCCTGTGGTCCCAGCTACTTGGGAGGCCCTGGCAGGAGACTCACTTGAGCCCAGGAGTTGGAGGTTGCTGTGAGCAGTGAAGCCATAGCACTCTACCCAGGGTGACAGTTGGAGGCTCTGTCTCAAAAAAAAAAAAAAAATTAACTAGACAAAGAAAGAGTTATTGGTAGAGGGAGTATGAAGAAAGGAATGTTGTTTTGTGAAAGGAAAGTAATTGGGGGGGGGAGGTCATTCTCTGAATGTCCCCCAGGTGCTGCCCCACAGCCTGCTCTCCACACCTCTCTGCCTGAACCCACAACTGAGCCACGTGGAGACATTTCAATACTTCCTCATCTCAGTGAGGACACTGGACAACCATGCACTGGGGGTTTGGGGGCCTCAGAACAGACTCGGGATCCACAGTGATCTCACAGGGTTGAGGTGCATGTATTCTGCTTACTTGCTGGTGAAAACCATAGAGTTGGACCTCTCCTGGAACTACCTCTTAGGCTTCCACCCCCACAGGGTCCTGGCTCTAGGGTTCCTCAATAACTTCTGCACAGAGGACAACTGGCTTCTCCCACCTCTTCACTGGTCTCGGGAGGCACTTGCCCACGCTATCCTGTTGGTCCCACCTTCCTCTTTTCCAGGATTACATCTTGTTAAGTGGTGAGGAGGAGAACACCCCCTGCTGTCACCTCCCACTGTACCCTCCTCCTATCCAGGGGGCCCCAGGTCTACCTTCCCAGTGTCCTTTCCCATATACTCTCCAAAACCCAGGCATTAGGACCCCCAGCTTCTGCCCTCCCCCCAGGTTTGGTCTGACAAGGCCAGCGATTCCTATCTGCTGGCCACGCCTGGAGGCGACCAGGTGACAGTCCTGGCCATGGGAGGGCCCCTGGAGTCGCTGGATGTAAAAGCTGGAGCGCTAAGCTTGAGGATTCGGAATCGGAAGATATTCGTGAAGCTGGCGCAGGAGCAAGGGTGAGGCACTGGCTGGCGGCAGGACAGGGGAAAGGCGCGATGCCCCAGGGCCAGGAGTAAGCTTGCCCTGTCTTCTCCCTAGGGAGAACGAGCTCTTCAGCGTCTGGCTAGTGGTCGCGGAGGGTGCAGGAAGCCGGGCAGCCGCTCCTGAGCTTGGCGCTGCCGCTGTTCCACCGCCGCCTGGGCCTGCTGCTGCCCTTCGTGCACTTGTCCGCACTGTGGGTTAGCCCCGGCCCGGCCCTCTGGCGCTGTCGGTCCCTGGCCACGCCGCCCCTGCCCTGAACTCTGTCCCAGTGATCGTCACAAGCGGACAGTCTTGTGGGACTTGTTGGGAATCTCAGACACCAGCCCCCGAGCCCCCCGTTCCGCTCGCAGTGGGGGCCGCGATTCCCGTGCGGCGAAGCCCGCGGCCCAGCCAGGCGCAGGTAGATGCGCTGCACGCGCTCTGAGTGGAGCGACTCAGACAGCTGTTCCAGGAGCACAAGGCGTGCCCAGAGGCACCTAATTCTCACACAGGCACCCCGCAGGTGCCCCGCCCCAACTGTCCCCTTCGCGGCTGACGGAGTGAAATTAAAGGTGGGAAACCAACCAGAGGCGTTTGTATATTTGTGCACTGTGGGGGGAGTTCCCGGGGGCTCGGTAGGGGCCGCAGAGCCCGTATCATTGGGTCCTACGTGGCTTTGACATTCTGAGAGACATGCCAGCAGGTGGGGGGCATGTCAGGGCCCAGCCCAGCCACACTGGAGTGCCAACGGTCTCTGTTGGGTTCCTGTCCTCTGCCAGCGCGGTAGATCCCCCGTGCCAGCTGGACTTCTGTCCACTCCCTCAGGCACCGCCTCTCACACACCCTTCACCACTTCCCCGCCCCACCCAACCTGTCCAGACCTACAGACTGAGGAAGTTCAAAGATCAGTCTGAGAAGGAGCCTGGGGATCCAGTCTGAGAAGGATCTGGAACTCCAGATCCTCACATTCGCACACCTGGACACTTAGACCCCAGAAGACACCGCAAGGTTCTGGGAGGCCATCTGCAACTCTGCCAGGTCCCAAGAGCTGGCCTTCTCCAGCGAGGAAGTGTTCCCAAGCTCTTACCCAAGCTCTTACCCAAACCTTCACTGGAGTCCTGCTGGCAGAGGGGAGCTACTAGGATGGACGTCTCCACAGCCTTACCAACCTCTGCCGCCTCGAAAACCCCACAGAAGCAGCATCTAGAAACAATGAGCGCCTACCAGTTTGTGCTCACTTTCCTCTTCATGGGTGAGAAGGGACAGGAGTAGGTGCCTGGGATCTGCCAGGGGTGGGGGGGCCTGGGGAGGTAGGGCCTGGAGATGGGGAAGGGCCTCGAGGGAGGATGGTTGGCCTGCAGGGCTATGGGACCCCAGGAAGAGAGCCAGAGGGGATGGCGGCATGTTCAATGGGGGCCAAAGGGAGGAGAGCAGCTGGATGGAATGGCTGAGTTTCAAAAGCAAACTCATTATTTTCTCATCTTTCCCCAGGTCCTTTCTTTTCTTTTCTTGTCATCTTCCTCCTCTTCACCTCACTCTGGTCACTCTCTGTTCTCTACTTGGTGTGGCTCTACCTAGACTGGGACACACCTAAGCAAGGTGAGCCTGGACAGGGGCCCAGGTAATGAGAAATGCCGGGCGGGGCAGGGGCAGTTACCTCCAGGGATTCTCCCACTTTTATCTCTTTGCCCTCAGGTGGAAGACGTTCTAAGTGGTTGAGGAACTGGACAATTTGGAAGCTCCTGAGGGATTATTTTCCAATCAAGGTGACAGTCCACTCCAGACAGACTGCTCTTTCCCATCTCCCACATCGCTCCCCCTTCCCTATGGAGGATCCTGAGCACCTAAGCTCAGGCAGTGGACAATGGTGGATGGTGTCCAAGAGAGGGCCCTTGATCCCATTCTAGGACCTAGAACTCTGTAGGGTGCAGGGCAAGTCTTTTCAGCTCATGTCTCACCTTCTCTGCCTCCTTCCCTGCATCTGGCCCATCACCCTGAAGCTGGTGAAGACAGTAGAGCTGCCCCCTGACAAGAACTACATTCTGGGTGCTCACCCACATGGGATCATGTGCACCGGGATCTTCTGTAATTTTGCCACGGAGGCCAATGGCTTCTCCCAACACTTCCCAGGGATTCAGCCCTGGTTTGCTGGGCTGTCTAGCCTCTTCTGCCTTCCAGTCTACCGAGACTACATCATGTGTGCTGGTGAGCCTCAGATTGGATGGGAAGGGGCAAGCCCTGGCCAGGGTGATCCCTGTGCACACTCTGAGCCCGACCCTCTGCCCCACAGTGCAGGCTCACAACAGATATCACTGAGTTGCTTCACTGTTGGGGCTCACTGACATGGGGATTGGAAGGGCCCATCTGCCCTATACAAATGGGTGGATGAGAGGCCAAGGGCTCATAGAGGGAATGATGACTGCTCCTCACCTACTCATGCCTGCAGGAGCATGTCCTGTCAGCCAACAGAGCCTAGACTTTATCCTGGCCCAGCCCCAGCTTGGGCAGGCCGTGGTCATCGTGGTTGGAGGTGCTCAGGAGGCCCTGCATTCGGTCCCAGGGGAGCACTGTCTCATACTCCGGAAACGCAAGGGCTTCGTGCGCCTGGCACTGAGGCACGGGTGAGTGGGCATGTAGTGTTTACTGGCTGGAACTCCTCAGCTCACCTGGAATTCTCCCTTCTCCTTGGGTCTGCACTGTCTCTCAGTCCCTAGACATCTGGGTCCCTATAGGGGAGACCAGAGCCAAGTGTTATGCCCTATACATGGAGGCTCACAGCAGCCTCAGTGCCTTGTTCTGTGCCAAGCACTGTGCCCTCATTACCCAGCTCTCTCCCTCTCAAGCAAGGCAGAGGCAGGAGCATAGAATAGATGGCAAGGCCCTTGGGCTTAAAAGCTCTGGATTCATTTGCTGACTTACCTCAAAAGCAAGATCTTGGACTTGTTTCTTTACCTGTGAAGAGGCTAATACCAGCTAGCCACAATGTTGTAGTGACATAAACTAAATGAGAAAGTGAATAAGTGAAGGCCCACTACACAATTGTTTCTCAAGAAATGTGAGTCTCAGCTTGGCACCTGTACCTCAAGCAGCTAAGGTGCCAGCCACATACACCAGAGCTGGTGGGTTTGAATTCAGCCCGGGCCCACCAAACAACTTTAAGTTACAACTTAAAAATAGCTGGGCATTGTAGCCAATGCCTATAGTCCCAGCTACTCAGTCCCAGGCTGAGGCAAGAGAATCGCTTAAGCCCCAGGAGTTTGAGGTTGCTGTGAGCTATAATGCCATGGAACCCTACCCAGGGCGACTCTGTCTCAAAAAAAAAAAAAAAAGAAAGAAAGAAAAGAAAAGAAATGTGAGTCTCAGCTGGGTAAATGGCTCACTCTTGTAATCCTTCCACTCTGGGAGGCCGAGGCAGGCAGATTGCTTGAGGTCAGGAGTTCGAGATCATCCTGAGCAAGAGTGAGACCTAGTCTCTACTAAAAATAGAAAAATTAGCCAGGTGTTGAGGGTTGAGGTGGGTGCCAGCTACTTGGGAAGCTGAGGCAAGAGGATCACTCAAGCCCAAGAGTTTGATGATGCCACGGCACTCTACCCAGGGTGACAGAGTGAGACTGTAGAAGAAAGAAAGAGAGAGAGAGAGAAAGGAAGGAAGGAAGGAAGAAAGGTTGAGTCTCTCATTCTAGATCTTTCTTTGTAGCCATAGTCATATGCTTTGAAAGGCCCTAGGAAATGGCCTCATGAGGTATGGGGAGGGACTTGAAGCCCCCTGAGGAGCCCATCTTGGGGTGATCCAGCAGCTTGAGCACCCCCTTCCCTCTTTCTCCCCCTTCCCAGAGCCTCCCTGGTGCCTGTGTACTCCTTTGGGGAGAATGACATCTTCAGACTGAAGGCTTTTGCCACTGGCTCCTGGCAGAATCGGTGCCAGATAGCCTTCAAAAAGCTCATGGGCTTTTCTCCTTGCATCTTCTGGGGCCGCAGTCTCTTCTTGACCAACTCCTGGGGACTGTTGCCCTTTTCTGTGCCCATCACCACTGTGGGTAAGTGCCCATTTAAGGGGGGGAAGGCTGCCAGTGGCTTGTGGACAGCAGGGTCCTCTCACTCACCTGTACCCCCTCCCCCTGCAGTGGGCCGCCCCATCCCTGTGCCTCAGCGCTCTCATCCCACCACAGAAGAAGTTGACCACTATCACACACTCTACATAAAGGCTCTGCAGCAACTCTTCGAGGAGCACAAGGAAAGCTGTGGTGTCCCTGCTTCTACCTGCCTCACTGTCATCTAGGTCTGGTGGTCTGGCCTAGGCTGCCTGCTGAGCTCCTGAGCCCCTGACCTGAGACACTGAGATCTTCACATACTGCTGTGCTCATCCCTCCCATAAAAGCAAGTTCTGGGCTCGGCGCCTGTGGCTCAAGTGGCTAAGGCACCAGCCACATACAACTAAGGTGGCGGGTTCGAATCCAGCCCGAGCCTGCCAAACAACAATGATGGCTGCAACCGAAAAAAAAAATAGCCAGGCGTTGTGGCGGGTGCCTGTGGTCCCAGCTACTTGGGAGGCTGAGGCAGGAGACTCACTTGAGCCCAGGAGTTGGAGGTTG